ATTACAGCAGAAGTGGAGTAAGAGAGGAAAACGAAAGTAGAAGAGAAGCAAAATCGAATCGATTGCAGAGAGAGAGGGATGAAGAGAAAAAAAAAGTTCGTAGTAGGAGGATGACCGGTGGAGAGCGTATGAGCATCTGATGGAGGCAGTGAGAAAAAAAAATCAAATACATGAGATAAGGCGGTGGAACAATCGGTGAATCGGTGGGGTGGTTATCAAAAGGTTCGAGAAGCATCTCAATCTCTTTTGGTGATGGAAGTAAACAGATTGAAAATGTAAAAGAATTGGTAATAAGGATAACGAAGATAAAGGAGAGACAAAACACAGGTATACCAATCAACCCTGGAAAGAGAATAGAAAGAAATTTGGTCGGAGAGGCGGTGGAAATTTCCAGAAAGAGAACACGTGTCGAACGTCTGTCCAACACACCAACCCAGATATAAAATTTTCACAGAAACCTAGAGGGAGCAAAATTGTAATTTTAAGAAAGAAGTGGGGCATTTTTGACGGACATGAAAGCCCAAACACAATTGACAATAGACAAATAAACAGGGACTACTTTTGCCAACCCACTGTTCCTTTTTTTCACATCTTTAATATATATATAATAATTACATTCACTATCTTTTAATTTTTTGTTTTAGCTAGGATCTAAATAAAGTTATGCGTGACTTGGCGACATGTCAACTTAATATTTTATGAGTCATGGCGAGTCATGACGAAACCATGACAAACTTTTTAAAACCTTCGTTTTTAGTATATTTTGTCTTTTATTGTCTTTTTTTCTTTTCTTAATATTATTTAATTGATTTGATTTATTATTATTATTATTATTATTATTATTATTATTATCATCATCAAAATAATATTATAAATAACAATAATATAAATAATAATAACAAAGCAGAGCTTGGTTTTGTTTATAATCAGATATATTGACAGTTTTAGTATTATAACTGTGTGGTGTATTATGCGTATTATGCAAAACATAAACATTTAGTTGGACATTATACAAGGATTCTCATCTAGCATAACGTTTTGATTTGTACGTACGCGTTATACAAGGTTTCTATTATAGTTCAGACCACTCATATGTTATTTTTCTGACTATCGTTATGTAAATTTTTTGTTTGGACTGTTCATATGTTATTTTTCGTTCGGACTATCCTTGTGTTATTTTTTTCGATTGGATTATCCACATGTTATGTCTGTCGTTTAGACTATCCCTGCGTTATTTTTTGTTCAGATTATCTCCGTGTTATTTTTTCGTTCTGACTATTCTTATGTTAGTTTTTTCGTTCCGACTATCGATGTGTTTTTTTTTCCTCGTTCGAACTATACATGTGTTTTTTTTACTATCTTGTGTTATGTTTTCGTTTGAAATATCTCTGTGTTATTTTTTTCGTTCTGACCATCCATGTATTATTTTTTTTATTCGGACTATCCCTGTGTTATTTTTTCGTTCGGGCTAACTTTGTGTTATTTTTTTTCGTTCGAACTATCTATGTGCTATTTTTTCCGTTCGGACTATTATTGTGTTATTTTTTTGTTTGAATTATCCCATGTTATTCTTTTGTTGTGATTTTCGTAAAAAATATTTATTGAACAATACATAGATAGTTCGAATAAAAAAATAACACAATGATAGTCCAAACGAAAAAATAACACATGGATAGTCCGAACAAAAAAATAACATATGGATAGTCGAGACGAAAAAATAACACATAGATATTCCGAACGAAAAAATAACATATAGACAGTCCAAACGAAAAAATAACATAAGGATAGTCAGAACGAATAAAATAACATATGGATAGTCCTGATGAAAAATGTAACATAACGATAGTCGGAACGAAATATAGGGCGTCTATAAATGTCAATAATAATAATAATAATAATAATAATAATAATAATCTACTCTAATAAATAAATATCTTTTTAACGCATGTCACATTCATTCATTTTGTCATATATCATTTTGTGGTTACTTTAAATTATTTTACATTCCACATGTCATTATATTGTCTTTTTTTTAATTAAATTTTACATTGTATTTTTTTGAAACGGCAATCTAATCTACTCCTAAACTACACCTTAAATCCACCTATGTCCACGACGGGACTTGAACCCTCAACCTCAAAGAGGGAGGGCAACACCAGATACGGCTTAGCCCTTTGGTCATTGTATTTTAATGTAATAAGTACAATGATTAGAATTTCATATTTAAATTATCTTTTAAATAAACTCATTTAATACATGAGTCTTGACCTAGTAAATTATAAAAAAAAAAAGACAACAAAAAGAAAATAAAATATTTTAATATGATTGATATTAAGGTAATTAGAAGGTAATTAGAGATTTTGGGGAGACATGGAATTAGTAATGGGGTACATCTTATTAAATTAATAGTGAATTTGTTAATTGAATGCATCGAGCAATTCGCCGGTTGGATTGGAAGGAAGGACGAATCTTTGACTTCCCTCGAAGTCAAAATCTACCTTCATATATTCAAAAATCAATTAATTGTTTATGTAATAACATTTAGAAAACAAAAGTAATAACGGAATAAATAAATAGAGATACAATTAACCAGAAAAATTGGAAGATATATATAAAAGAGAAAATTACAAATTTAGCCAAATACATTAATTACTTTGTAGAAAATAGCAAAAAAAAACTCAAATTACAAAAATAGCCCTTAAAATCGCAGATGGATTAAACTCATCTGCGATTTTGCCTTTCCATCTGCGATTTTGTGAAGTCCATCCGCAATTTCGTGGGATCTAGGATAAAAACATTTTTTTTCTTCATTTTTCACTCTCTTTCTTGAAGAAACTCTCTCTCTCTCTCTCTCTACGATTTCCTTAGAGCTATTATCGATGATATCATGGACGATTTCCTTAGAGATGCTTTAAACAAAATTTCCAAAAAAATAACAACAAAAATGATAATTTATTGAAAAAGTTTATATATAATAAGGTTGTTTTGTAGTTAAACCTATCAATTTCATAGTCAAAATTTAAAAAAAAAAAAAAAAACCGAAAAAACGAAAAAAAAAATCGCAAAATCGCAGTTCTAAAGGAGAGGAAATCGCAGATGGACATAGTCCATCTGTGATTTTAGACTGAAAAATGGGTATATATACAGCGAAAAAAAAAAACCAACTGCGAACGTACAAGTGGCTAAAGCACGTCTGTGCTTTAGCCACTTGTACCTTCGCAGATGGCATGGCGAAATCGCAGATGGATTATACCCATCTGCGATTTTAGTGACTAAAAATGCAATTTTGTTTTTTTTTTGGCTATTTTCCACAAAGTAATTAGTGTATTTGGCTAAATTTGCAATTTTCTCTATATAAAATATACATATCTCAAAGCTATCACAAAATTGAACAATGTCGTAATTTTATATCGTGGACAACACAATTGAACGTTTTTTTACTATAAGTTCAAAATTATATGAAGATCTAACATTAAAATTAGCATTTGATTGGAAGTTTTGATTTAATTAATCAAAGAGTAATTGTTTGTTGTTAATTAGTAAAATTTAGTTTATATTGCCATTTACAGAAATATGATAAACTAATTTTGGGCTTTCAAATGTACAAAATGATTGCCAAAAGATTTAGATTAAAGGTTGTTGCATTTTAAAAGGTAAATCGAAGTTATACTCGTAACTTTAAGAAAGAAAAAATTACAAATGACTAACAAGTTATTTTATTTATTTATTTTAATCGTTCAATTTATTTTGACTATCTGTTAGATAATTAACGTTACAAAATATTCTCAATTTGGCACTTTTAAGTTTTAAACGACTATAGCATTTTATCTGGCTTATGTGGTGCTTTTTAAATAATTTATATTAAAAGTTGGTTAGAATAATCGAGCTATAGCCCTTATCTGAATTGTTACCCTCTACTTTTTAATTAATTCTAACCTAATTTTTTGGAAACGGCAAATGAATTAACGGAGCCTACACGTACTTTTAAACGTGCATCCCAGGTCGAGCTCCGCAAAACGGGCAAACCCAGCCCCTGATGGGATTTCCAGGGAAAATTCCCCCACAATGAGCACTTAAAGAGGATTTATGGAATCCCAAAGATTCGAACATCCAACCTCACCCCACTGTGGGTTATAAACCCGGTACATCACTACCAGCTAGGCTGGAGATCATTTGTGTAATTCTAACCTAATTGAAGTAACAAACTAAAATGCCAAGTCATATGTAATATTATTTTAATCCAAATTCTTAAAAAAATATCACTTACACAGGTTAAGACTATATCTAGCTAAAGAGACTAAAATGAAATCTAAAATTAGACAAAACTAATAATAAACAAATAGAATAATTCGTTGATCATTTATAACAACTTTTCTTATTATTTTAATCCAAATTCTTAAAAAAATATCATTTACACAGGTTAAGACTATATCTAGCTAAAGAGACTAAAATGAAATCTAAAATTAGACAAAAACTAATAATAAACAAATAGAATAATTCGTTGATCATTTATAACAACTTTTCTTAAAATTTAACCGGTATTATTTATGATACTTAGTTAAAATAACTAAGAAGATACGATTTTAGAAAGTGTATTACATATTGACAAAAATTAATTCAATAATTAGAATGGACAAATGTGGTTATTTTCAACATTTTCTTTTCAAAAATTTGTAATTAAAATAAAGTATTCAAATATGGATGATTATATATAATAATCCGTTTTCTTGCAATAGCTTATCGATCTTCTTTTTTAATTATCATCATTTCCGTTAAAAATGTAAACATATTATGAAATTAGCAAGCACTCAACTATTATGACATCACCTTTTGTACAACATCAAAACAAGTAAACATATCATGACAAAACCTTGGGCATTATATTGATTTCTATATTACTTTCTTTTTTAATCGGATATTTTGAATTAAAGTCTATATTAAATATATTAATCACAAGACAAATATGCAATTCTCTCTCTCTCTCTCTCTCTCTCTCTCTCTCTCTCTCTCAGCAGGACCATCTCATCTTCTTCCTCCGATTCCGATACCTTCTGCCATATTCACCGGCCCCCACTACCCCTATCTTCTCCTCTCTACCAAGCATCAAACCGCAAAATTTCAAATCATCTGTCTGTGGTGTGGTGTCTAGTCTACGCTATACAGCTGCAGCCCACTCTCAATTCACAGTCGACAAATTAAAAAATGATTGAGATGATTAAGTATCTGATCGGCTACGCCGGAGCTAGCGGTTACGGTTCCAAATCCACCGCCGAGCAAGTCACCGATAACTGCGATCGTTTATGCTCTTGCACCGCCATCATCACAGGTAATAATCATGACCTACAAATCTATAATCGTATTGATATTCATGCACATGCATAGTCATCATTGTCGTATTATCAGTGGAGAGATGCAAAATCCTTTTCGTTTTTTTTTTTTTTTAATCTGGTCTTATTTTTTGGTTTGTTTATTTGAATTTGTCAATTTGATCTAATCAGGTGCGACGTCCGGGATCGGAGCTGAGACGGCTCGTGTCCTGGCTAAGGGCGGTGCTCGTCTGATCATGCCTGCTCGGAATCTAAAGGCCGCCGAGGAGAATAAGGCTCGTATCTTGTCGGAGTTTCCTGATTCGGAGATTATTGTTATCACTCTTGATCTTAGCTCGCTTCATTCCGTCAGGAGTTTTGTTTCTGATTTTGAAGCTCTTAATCTTCCGCTTAATCTCCTCATGTAAAATGATCGATCATTACTTCCTTCAGTTTCAGTTATTAATTTCTCACACTGAGTCATGAATGAATATATTCTTAATTATCACAGTAACAACGCCGGAAAATTTTCTCAGAATCACTGTATATCGGAAGACGGGATGGAGATGACGTTTGCAACGAATTATCTAGGTTAGTTTTCTGCAAAATAACAATAATCACTTATCAGTATGCACAGTGAAAGTGTGATTATTTTATGTGTACATATTGATTGTTTTAATTTGAATTAGGTCATTTTTTGTTAACGGAACTGTTGATGAAGAATATGATAGAGACGGCAAACATAACCGGCATACAAGGTCGTATCGTGAACGTATCTTCCGGCATCCATACCTGGTTTTCCGGCGACTTGATTCGTTCTCTTGGTCGAATCACTCGAGATAAAAGGTACTGATTCGGAAGTTATTTAAAATCACACAAATCGAATCGAGCTCTGGGAAAATCGAGAAGAAAACGATTAACTCTAAACGGGATATTTATCTACTTAATGCCCAGATTTTGTCTACTTTTGTTTGATTGCAGACGATTCTCAAATATTCTTGGCAAATTCCACGCTTTAATTGCTGCGTTCCACATAAATTGTTGAGATTTCTTGGAGAAAGAAACAAAAAAGCATCTAGAAACAAAACGATCGATCTCACAAAGAAACAAAAAATACCTAATTGTGTTGACAATGATTCTCAAACTCAAAATCAATTGTTTTAATGTTATTAATTAGTTGGAAAGTATAATTCATATTCACGATCGTATAGATTCGAATGCAATTACCTTGTAATTGAATATTGAATTAATCAACCAGTTATGCATATGAGATTATATATAATATTGGTTTTGACTTGTTCTCTGCATATTTGTCTCTTGTGTATGCAGTCAGTACGATGCAACACGTGCATATGCAATCTCGAAGCTCGCTAACGTTTTGCATACCAAGGAACTTGCTCGGAGACTCAAGGTATCATTACATGATCATGATGATTATATATATTTCCAATTGAAGAATATAAAATTATTTTACTGATTAAAAGACGAAACTTGTTCTTTTCTATTTCTTCTTCTTCTTCTTCCTGCTGGACATAAACATCACATCACGTGTGTTCCTATGTTTCTATATGTTATCTTGTTCGAACCATCTCTCATCTTTTTCATATCTTTTCCATGTAAATCACATTAAAAATTTCTTGTTAAGATCTTGTATGAAGATTACAAAATCTCATTTCTATTTTACTTTTTAATTAGCAAATGGAGGCGAACGTGACTGTAAACTGTGTGCATCCTGGGATCGTGAGAACGGAGCTAACAAGAGATCACAAAGGCTTTGTAACAGGTAACTTATAAGATTAAATTAGCAAATAAAACAACAAACTAATTAATTCTGAAGTGGTGTAAAGTTTGATAAATCTTCTATTTTTGTTACTTTATAATTAATATGAATTCTTAAACATGCAGATCTCGTATTTTTTCTGGCTTCAAAGCTGTTAAAAACCATTCCTCAGGTAATATATATATCTTGCACATCCATCTATAGAAATATATAACTGCAACTCGATCTATTATTATATACATGTGTATATATGTATAAAAAACTGTTTCACTTAGGTTTAAATACGTTTTTTTATAAAATGAAAAATTAATGCAACCAGTTTCAGTTCGGTTTAATTAAATACATTTTTTTTTCTAAAAAGAAAAATCAACCTAACCAATTTTATTTCAGTTATAAATATATTTTTTAGTTTTTAAAAAAGAAAAAGAAAAATCAATCTTCTTTAAGGAATAGAACATATTTTATGCAATCATTGGTAATTAGCATGACAATAGATTTATGAAAACCCCAACAAAATGTTAACTTTTATTTAGTACGTACACACTTACAAAGTATACAAACATAACGTATTTTGTCTATTTTGATAAAAATGGTAATTCCGTAGCGATTTTACGCAAATTGTCATTAATAGAAAACCTATTAATTAAGCATTATTAAAAAGTTAGTTTATGCTGGTTAATTTCGATTAATTTGTGGTTGATTTTAGTTATATAGTTTATAATGACTGATTTGGCATGCATGAATAATTTTGTAATTAATATACAGGCGGCGGCGACCACATGCTATGTTGCAACTGACCCAAGACTGAGAAATGTGAGCGGAAAATACTTTGTAGACTGCAACGAAGCTTCACCATCAAAACTAGCATGCGATCCAGAGGAAGGTGCTCGGCTATGGTCTTTCTCTAAAATCATGGTCTCTAGGGAACCCAGATCAGATTTTTCCACTTTCCATGGATTATATTAATTATTTAATTAATTAAACACATATATACTATATATATATATATATATATATATATCTATATATATATCTATATATATATATAATACTACATGTTATAATAGCATCAAGATTAAAACAAGATCTAGATACTCAATGGATTATATATATATATATATATATATATATATCTATATATATATATCTATATATATATATATATATATTATATCTATCAAATTAAAAAATATACAGATACTCTAGGAACATGTTATGGTTAGTTACAACATATACTCTAAAGAAATTATAACAAAAACAAGAGCTGGCAGTTTTATAAATATATATATACATTAGTCATGTGAAGACAGTTGATTGCGAAGGCATATATATACACACACAGAGTTTTTAATTTGGAAAAATCATAGACATGGTATTTTTCCAAGTTAAATACTATGTTATTTTTTTATTAATATATATATGGTAGTTGTTGAATATTAAACGAAAAATATGTGTAAACATAGGAAGTGTAGATGAAAAGATGGTGGTTTCTTTTTTATAATTGATGTAATGTTTCACGTTTTGTGTTGATATTTGATGGTAATAGTTTCGGACTTTTTTGAAATTTGGAATGAAGGTTCTTTTGTATAATATTCGTTGTTTAACATATGTTATATTATATGAGTACGTCGAAAATCAATTAATTAAGGGGACATTCAGTGCATTCAATTGGCCAGAAGAAAATGGAATAAAATCAATGATGAAATTAGATAGTTTTAAATTTTTGTTTGTATTAATTTCTTTAATAGTATTTTTACAAAAAAAAAAAAAAAAAAAAAATCAGTTTTTTAGATTTAAAAAAAAAATAAAGTTAAAATTTGACATGATTATGAGTTTAAAATTTTTATTTTAAACAAAAGTTAATTTGATTAGTTTTTTTTAAGAGTTTTTTCTTCTGTGTTTTATATTATTTTATATTTTTCAACTATTTTTTACAACATTTTCCACAAATAAAACTTACATACAACTTTATGTTTTCAACTTCCTAACTAGTTTGTCAAATATACTATAAAGTTTTCATTTTAAACAAAAAATCTTAATTTACAAATGTATTCTGTAAGTACCCCAAAATTGTTTCGTATACCCCCTTGTGAGTAAAATAATGTGTGTATCTTTGACAATGAGTAAATTACACGAATCGTCTCTCATGCGGGTGTCAAAATGCACGTTTAGTCATTATTTTCAAATTTTAACTCGGATCATCCCTCGTTTGTTTTAAACGTGCACGTTTCATCCTTGCCGACCTAAAATGATTATTCTGCCCTTTCTCATCTCTTTTTTAGTTTCTTTTTAATTTGTTAATTATTTTTAATATAAAAAAACAAAAAGAAAAGAAATATGCACCACACACACTTTGACACCGGCTTTTCCCATCCCCATTCTTTTGTTTTTTCGTTTGTTTGGTTGTTTGCATCTGGGATATCAGTCCGGCATCACCACAACCATTTGCCACCACCACCACCACCCTCTAGCCCCATAATCTGCCCCCAATAACCCCAAATAGGTAGACATAAGATGTTTGTTTTTTATGCATTCCCACAAAATTAAACATTTCACAAGTTTTGTTTAGTTTTTACACAATCACACACAACAGTTCAAGAAATCGAATCACCCACCAAAATCAATCTCTAAAATCGAATCCCCTACCAAAATTCCCCAGTGAAAACGAATCCAATCTCGTTTTCGTTTTCAATTGGATAAAGTAACAGAACTATAATGTGATTTTGTGAGGGGATTTACGTTGTTAGAAGCCTGAACCAAAGACATGTTGACTCTTCACATAAAGCAGAGATGGAAGAAAAATCAGAGGGTCCCTGTTGACTGCTTCCTCCACCCTCCTTTTCCCTACCTTGTTCTGTAGAACTACTAAACCACCACCAATTCCACCGCATGTGACAGTGGTTATGAATGCAGTTGTTGTGGTCCGGGGTTGGAGAGGTTGCTCTTAGCTGGCTACAACATTGAAGTGAGGGTTTCCTCTTAACATCAAGGGTTCGATGATGGGGAAGGAGACAGAAATAGAAAAGAGATAGAGATAGAAAGATAATGATCTTATAGAGAAATATGCACTCCGGCAGCCACTCAAAACCCTAACCGCCGTCGACTTTCCTCTTTCTCCAGCAACACCACCATATTCCTATTCTGACACCACTCATCACCTCCTAGGTCACAATTTGTAACCAGATTCGGACCACAGATCAAAATCGATGCTAAGATCCACAATAGAAATCATCCACAACCCTTTGTAACCATGTCGTCGGAGGAAGATGAAGTCGGTGAGGCGATGTTCGTCGGAGGAAGATGAAGTCGGTGAAGTGTTGGTCGGGTTCGGTGACCGGGAAACAAAGAAGGTAGAAGGAAGGTGGAAGGGAAGGGGGAAAGTGAACGAAGAGGGGTGGGTTGGGTATTTAATTTCTTTTTCTTTTTTTTAATATAAAATAATTTATATTTAAATAAAAAAATAAAATATTAAGGGCAATATAGTCATTTTATGGTTGCCAAAGGATACAATGTGTAAATTTAAAATAACAAAGGACGAAGCGTGTAAGTTTTGAAATAATAAGGGACAGTCTGAGTTAATTTCTAAAAGTAGGGACTGAACGTGCATTTTGGTACCTACACAAGGGACGATTTGTGTAATTTACTCCTTTGACAATTTTTGTAAGTAAATGAAGTATGTATAATAACACCTTTAAAAGCTATTTCAGAGTAACTTTTGATAACTTTTAGCTTTTAGGTTTTATCATTATTGTAAGTTTATCCGTTAAACATGACACTCGAAGGATTCCATAAAACTAAAATGTGTCAGTTTGACAACTAAACAAACTATGGAATACAATCTTGAATTCTTGTTATATTAGAATCCACAACCCAAACATGCCTTAATATTACGTTATAAGTTCAAATCCTACATATGTTTTTTGGCTGGAAGACTTAATGTTAAACGAGTTAATGTGTAAAGGAACTATTTGCATGGATTTTATGACAAATTAATTGTCAAACAATTGGTTTCTATTACACATGCATTGTCTTAAGTAAGTTCTATATATTTGTATAAAAACTCTTGATAACTTAGTTTATATTGCTTTCGTTGTTCTTAATTTACATGTTTTTGGATTAAGTTTCCGTTTCTTGTAATATCAAGAAAATGTCTTGGTTTTTAGACTATAGAAATGTACCCTTAATTATGTAAATTTGCTAATAAACAATATATTGGTTTGAGGAAACTAGAAAGAGAGAATGTAAGGGAAGACCCAACAACACATTTGAAAATGTAATTCCCTGGTTCAAGCATTATTAGTTCATTGTTTTTGTGATGATTCTAAACCACATAAATGGTGTCAAATTAGAAAATGAAAAGGAAAAAAGATTGGCATTCAGCTCGTGATTCCATATTAGTGGATTGGGCCATAGCAATGAAAAGGATCTTACAAAAAAGGCCCCAAACAATAACTTGAATCATCACCTCAACTCCTCAACCTTCATAAATGATTTATTTTGTCCTTTTCAAATATTTATTATCGACATATCATTGTTATGATCGTATTTTTTTTGTTTAGTTGCAATCAGTTTGTATCAACAGTAGCTAAAATAACCAACACACGTTCCATCAATCGTCCTAATTCCTATCGATCCGGTTTTGTGTTTGAATCTTCACTTAACCGAAATTTTAAAACTACAAAAAAAACTTTTATGTATATGTAAAGATCAAAACGTAATAATGAATCAAAGGAACACCGGATTTATAGTGGAAAACCCCGTAATCGGGATAAAACTACTTTGAATTAACACTATATTAATAATTAATCTCAATATTGAAAAGGGTTACAAAGGCTTTATGTTGGTGTAGAACGGGAATGAAAAGGATATTCAGAAAAATACGATCTAATATCTTATATCTTATATATAAGAATAAATAAAAGAGTCATAATCTAACTCTACTATGAGAGCAAGGAAAACGGCAGCCTTGATGAACAAGGAAGCTTGACAGCTTGCCACACTCTTTAGCGACAGTTTCCGGAATGTCACCAAACTGAAAAAATCTCATGCATGCTTTGATTCGGATGATATTCAACAGTATCCGTCCTTTTTAAATATTTATTATCAACAATATCATTATTATGATCGTAATTTTTTTTTTGTTCAGTTGTAATCAATTTGCATCAATATATAGTAGCTAAAATAACCAACACATGTTCCATCAATCGTTCAATCGATCCAGTTTTACATTTGAATCTTCGTTTAACCGAAATTTAAAACTAAAATAAACTTTAATTTATAGCTTAGAAAAACTAAATGCATATTTTGATTTTAGTTTTAGACCAACGATGAATGATATTAAGTTGAAAACATGGATTCCAATTTGAGATCTAAACCAACCATAAAAACAAATTTGATATTTTGGGTTCTAACTTTTTTCTTAAACTGCAAAAGATTATAATAAAAAATTAAGAAAATATTAGAATAAACAATACAATAAGGATAAAGCTAGAGCTGAATGTTGAAGTCGTCCTAACTCAATTAAGTTGATGTCACCCACATACTCGTAAGAATAACAACCTAGATCCAAAACTTTCCTCTGAAGACCACCAACATTGGCATGTTCCGGCTAATTGAACAAATCGGCCATCATAGGAAAATAGGGAAAAGCAAGATCCGACCACAAAACAACACGTTTCCGAATTCAAATAGCCAAATGACAAAGGAGAAAAAGGTGTTTCGTAATTTCAACAAGACAGTCACATAAGGGCAAATAAATGAATTGACATCCCTTTTGTATAGATTATCTCTTGTAGGCTTGTAGCCAACCTTTCAAAATTAATCATTCCAACTAAAACGTTCATTTTATTGGGGACTAAAGTGTTTCGTTTAGTAGGAGTATCTAAAACCACCAAATAGCCACGGTAAAAAAACGTCTCTTAGAAAAAAAATAAAATAAATAAATAAGTCTCATGTTAATCCTAACGCCCACATCCATCGATCCTTTTGACCAGACACAAAATTAGAGTTAATAATCAATTTTAACTTAGGCCTTCCGGTATAGCAACGACGAAGAGGCACGTGGTCTATGTGGCCACGAACGTTGTCCGTTCACACCACCCCGACCTATCGTGGTAGGGCGTTTTCGTGGTGGGGAAGACGCAAGACAACGACCAATGTGAGAGAGGGTATCTCTCAGCCTTCTCTCTCTCTCTCTCTCTCTCTCTCTCTCTCTCTCTCTCTCTCTCTCTCTCTCTCTCTCGGCGTACAGATCTGTTTTCCTTAGGCCCCGCGTGTCTCCGGGCCCCGCCCGCTAACATATACTAGCGTACAACCATATCACAATACATAACTAACATACTCTACTGGATTACTGTGCTAAAGCCTCGCCTATCTTGGGTCTCGCCCCTGTCCTGCTACTGATGAATCATGGAACCCCGTCCACGCTCCTACTGATGGTGAGATACGGGCCCAGCCAACACTCACTCTTTTCCTAACTTGGGCCTCGCCCCTGCTCTGCTGCTAATGAGATATGGAACACCGTCCACACTCTGCTATTGGTGAGATACGGGACTCGCCCACACTCACCTCCCTACCAGGCACATACAAGTATCACACAGACACACAAGTATACTCTATCATGCAAACCATTCCTTGGGCACCCGCCCGACATTGGACCTTGGTCCTGAATATCATGCTAGTAAACAGTGCCTAGGGCTAACCCTCGGGTCTGCCTACTCACAAATACATGGGCCGGCATTGTGGCCGTAGACCCATTCACACAAAGGGAAACTCACCTCAAACTGCTGAAGCTGCTGATAACCCTCTGGCTGCTGTCCGACAACTCTCTGAACCGCTGCTCCTCTAGCTCCCCGAGCTACCAATACCAACAATAACAATTAGCCTAACTGTCCTCCAGAAGTCAACTAGGTCAACTCTGGTCAAGGTCCTTCTCAAGGTCAAAGTCAACTGTCAGAGTCAACTTCCAGTTGACTCGACTCGCCGAGTTGTTCTACCAACTCGTCGAGTCCTTATTCCTCAAATTCCAAAACAACCCCGACTCCACACGTCGAGTCTAGCAACAACTCAACGAGTCCTCCTTCAACCATATACTCAGGACTAACTTCAACCGACTCGCCGAGTTCATCCTTGAACTCGTCGAGTTCATCACCATCCCATGAATGTCTAGACCATGACTCGCCGAGTTGTATGAACAACTCGCCGAGTCTGCCTTCACAACTAAGGAGATTGCCCCGGACTCGCCGAGTTCGTCCTTGAACTCGTCGAGTACGATGATCATCAAGACCATTATGGACTCAGGCTGGCTGAGTCCCTAACCAACTCAACTCACACCCTTAGCAGAAGGGTTTCGGGGCAAGAATTGGTCCGACTCGCCGAGTCCCTCTATGTCCAACCCTATTCAGACAATTTTAGACAAGCTCAATACATCCAAAATCCAGATCTAGCCTCTAGGGGTCAGGATATCACACAAAGTCACCACCTTTACACCCATG